TGCTTCCAGCCAGTTTACCTCATTCTGCAGATGGGCTGCCTTGCCAGATTATTCCTTGATCACACGTTCCTCCTGTTGAGCAGTTACAACTTGAATTTCCCCTTCAGTTATAACCTTGATTGTTCTGACTGGTCTCCCAGTGCTGACAACATTAATGCTATGGAATTTACCTTTTCTTAGTTAAAAAACAAGAGGTATCATATTCTTTCCATAAACATTTCAGTTCAGTACCTTTTCTGACTAAATATAAATCCTTTATTTAATGGAAAATAAACCTTTTTCTCTCTTTTTTTTTTTCCTTTAACAGAGCATCATGGCATTTGAGCAGAAAACCTTCCAGGAAGCTCATAAACAGTAACTCCATTACTGAATACTGTTGTAAGGGTTTTTTCCTTCATCATTCTTCATGATATAGTAAAAGTAGGAGCAACTTGAGACTAAGTTTGTGTTCCTTTACTGTAAAAGCTACTGAATAAATAGAATTTACTTCCATGACTCTACCTAAGTAAGAGTTTTTTTATGTTATGAAATATGTTACAGTACGAGGTACACAGGGCAACATTAGAACAATAATACACTGTACTGGTTTGTTCATTCCAAGAAACAAATTGGTACAATTTTTAACACGGAATCACTTGGAAAAAAGGTTTTATTTTTTAACCATATCCTTTATAAAAGGACTGTTGGAAGATGCTGCCAGCAGTATCTATATTCTTCTTCTCTGCTTTACAAGTGGTTTGGCTGAGCTGCTCTCAGGCTTCTCCATGGATGTTCTGGAAACAGAATCTGCTACCTAAATTGGGAGGAAAAAATGTTAGTAAGCTGTAACCATTACTGTTTTATGATCATTTTAGAGTGAGGCCATGTTTCCAACATTTGAGCATTGGAAGAGATGTATTACTATAGCTATATTCTTCTTCTCTGCTTTACAAGTGGTTTGGCTGAGCTGCTCTCAGGCTTCTCCATGGATGTTCTGGAAACAGAATCTGCTACCTAAATTGGGAGGAAAAAATGTTAGTAAGCTGTAACCATTACTGTTTTATGATCATTTTAGAGTGAGGCCATGTTTCCAACATTTGAGCATTGGAAGAGATGTATTACTATAGTCACACTTGTATTTTCCTGCTG